CATCCTTTCATCTCTATTATTCATCCTTTCTTCTATAACCTCCATCCTTTCATCTCTATTATTCATCCTTTCCTCTTTAACCTCCATCCTTTCATCTCTATTAATCATTCTTTCTTCTTTAACCTTCATCCTTTCATCTCTATTATTCATCCTTTCCTCTTTAACCTTCATCCTTTCATCTCTATTATTCATCCTTTCTTCTCTTTTATCCATCATTTCTTTTCTAGTATCTCCTAAGTATCCATCTCTTTCTTCATCATTTTTCTTTCGGTTTTCATTCTTTATTATCCAAAATCCTTTATTTTCTCCACTATCCATCCTTTCGATTAAGTTGTCACAGAAATCTCATTAACTACGGGTAACCCTGTATCCAACTCAATATCTGATAGTTTTCAACCTTGATTTATCAGGTCAATAGTCACGTAGGAATAAATACGTAATTTCTAAGGAATCTAGGAAATGTTTACAATTCTACCAATGTATAAATAATAAATGTTGCCTATCAATAACGCCCATTTTAAAAGTTTTACAAATATCTTGGTTATATTTATACTCATATACAATATACATATTATTATAGAAACTTTGTGAAATCTTTATTGTAAATATTAAGGGTTTGTTATATCCATTTGTTTAATTCTTTAACTTTATAACAGATGTTCCGAAATTGGACTGTAAAGAATTTCCATCAACATAACCTGTCAAAACCATGAACTTCGAAATCCGATTAAAGTTTTAAAGTCTTATCCTCATGTCTTAAAATTTAAAAAAATATATCGTCGGCCACCCATTTACTATAGCTTCGTTTTCCGCAATTAAGACATTTTATGCAATAAAATTTTCGGATTTAATGTATTTACTTCCTAAAATCCCTCAAATAAGAAAGTTCTAAAAATGCATAATCGCTAACGAACGTCATTAACAGTATTTTTAACATGCTATCAAATACTGTGATACGTGAATCACTATTGGATCCAAGAATATTTTTAATTTTTTTCATTTCATGGAAAAGAAATGTTTATACATTTTTTGTTTTTAAGGTTGGTCAATACTATTATCAGCAATGTAATGTGAAAATAAAACATTTTTCTATTAATAAAAATAAATTCTATTGGGTTTAACAGTTTTCCTATAGGAATACTTTATAGGTATACAAGAATCCTTAGTCTTAGGTTTCAGGTTCCAGGTTTTAGTTTTTAGATTTAAGGTATATAGTTCAGTGATTGTTTCTTGATTTCATTCTCAGTTTCAGATTCTGTGTTTCAGAATCTAAGAACTTAATATTTAGGTTCCAGTCCTGGTTTTATATTCCAGGTTTTAGATTCCAGACAAACCATGAGTCTAGGCCCAGACAAACCATGAATCCAGGGACTAGACAAACCATGAATCCAGGGACTAGACTAATCATGAATTCAGGGGCCAAACAAACCATGAATTCGGGGCTCTGATAAACCACGAATCCAGGGTCCAGATAAACCATGAATCCAGGGCCAAGACTAATCATGAATTCAGGGGCCAAACAAACCATGAATCCGGGGCTCTGATAAACCATGAATCCAGGGACTAGACAAACCATGAATCCAGGGACTAGACTAATCATGAATTCAGGGGCCAAACAAACCATGAATTCGGGGCTCTGATAAACCATGAATCCAGGGTCCAGATAAACCATGAATCCAGGGCCAATGATAAACCATGAATCCAGGGCCCAGACAAACCATGAATCCGGGGCTCTGATAAACCATGAATCCAGGGTCCAGACAAACCACCCGGCTTCATGATGAACAGTGAGGGAGATTATCTAAGCAGAGAAACATACTAACAGTTGAACCCTGGTTACGGAACGGTTAAGAGCTCCGTCAACCATTATAATTAGTTTCAGGACATAACTCATATATTGTTAGAAATATTTTCCAATCGGTGGAACAACTGTGTTAATCACTTCAACAACAAGCAGTGAGTGCATGAGTGAGTATTTATAATAAAGGAATTGAGTTTTTGCTAAAAACTCTGATTTTCTAATCCCTAAATCTTTTCAATCTAATTGGAAAAACCTTTGATATTTCAAATTTAGGTTATCATATCTGATAGAAATCATAGCTTGAAAGATACAGAGATTAGAAAATTAGAGTTTGTGGTAAAGACTCAATACATTTCAAATAGTTTTCGAAATGTTTAACTTTCAAATATAATGAAAGATGTACAGTACGAAATAGTTTTACAAAAGAAAACTTATTCAGAGGAAGATGGCGCATTTAATTCCAACTTACCCGATGTTTATATTTTTTTTTAAACGTATATGAAAATAATATTTTGCTGTCGAGGGTCATTTATTTACATTAAAGTCGAGAGTAGATGATTTAATTTTTTTTGAGAGGCAAAGTTAATCAAAAGTTTTATATGTCACCAAGGCTCATTTTTCTTTATTTTAGAAAAAGGCTTACACAGTAAGTTTTTCTTAATTAAAATTCAAGACTTTCATGCTAAAAAACAAAGAAATTCAACAGCTGCCAAAACCAAGGAACTATATACGGGAACGCCCAACTGAGATATACGCAAATTGTGTTCTGTACTCTGAGGGAGGAATGTAAACAAACCCCGTGCCCCCCACAGAAGTTAAAGGGAAAGGACTAAAGCTCTGATGTGATATTACAATCCAACAAAAAAAACAATTTAATATATCAAGTTAGAGCGACTACTTATGATTTTTGACTTTCTGGTCAATGGAAAATACAATAGCAATATATTCTTATTCCACCCCTTGGGCCCTTTTCCCTCAAAAATGAGCGTTGCCCCTGAATTCTTTGTTTTGATCTCCCCCCACTGCAGTACACAGATTTGACGCATGAGATATGGCGGTTCCTGGTCTATTTACTTCTTGGACAAAACTATGTTTTTTTCTTTTTTATTTCCGTTTTATATAATACATTAAATATCCATAATTTTTATAGATAAAACACCCCCCGGCCACCTATGAGTGTCCACAAAAAATTCAGCCCAATCGGTCCAACCGTTTGGCCGGCTATACGCAATATATTGTTTTATTATATAGATTATATACAAAGTAGTAATCTCTGTTTGTTTTTATGTCCGATCATAACTCATGAACCCTTTGACCGATTTGCCTCAAATTTTAATTGGGGAACTTTAGAGAACCGGGACATATTCTTTGCTTAGTTTCTAAATTGAGATTATTGACTTGAATAGGGGAAAGTAGCTAAAATCGTAATTTAAGACCAAGGGTGGGTAAACGGCGAGAGTAACTATGATTACCCTGGGCAACGCTGGGTTCCCAAGCTAGTAAACATAAATAATTTACGCTTGTCTACACTCGTCTAACTAAAGAAGATAATCAACGATATTTAAAAATAATTGGAAACGAGAACAGTTGGTTTAATTTCTTATGTGTTATTTCTTAGTTTTCAAAACTCTTTTTTTACAATCTTGAATCTATAAAATACTAGACATTGTTATTATCTTGAGCTGGGAACTTTTGAGTGTCATAATCCCGATCGTTTGATCTCGATTTCCACATTGGGCACTTTTAACATGAGGATGAATGCTTATTTTCTACATTTCAGGTTTTGATCAAAGCTTCCTTTAATTCTTGACTGGGTACGATTACCATGCGGATTAAATCAATCTGCAGATTAATAGAATATCGATATCCACAATACAAGAGTTCTAAGTTTTGTGGATCTGCATTAAATAAATCTAATCCATATCTTAACTTTTAGAGGATCAAAAAGGTTTTAAATCACAAAATTTGTCAATTATTTTGAAGAGTTTTTGACTGAGTGCCGCGTAGTTAGCTTACGACTTTCCATTTTTTACATATAAATATATAAATTATGATCATTACACGCAAACTGCCCCTTTGGTAAAAGTAAATTCAACCTATATGAAGCATAAAGTCTGACCGTGTCAACCTTGTCCTTTTTCATAGAGCTAGGTACAGTATAAACTGGAACGGGAAAGGTTGACCCGGCTCGGAAATTCAAATGTACTGCATGATTATGATTATTATTCTTGTCATGTTTACTGTGGAGTCCAAATGTCAACTGTTGGGACGGTTAGAGGTTAATGGTTAATAAACTTTATATTTCCTAATTAAACATTTTTATTTTCTAAAAAAGTGCTCCTTAGTTCAAACAACATATGGATATAAATAGATAGATAGATATACGTATAAATAGATCGAAAGATAGACAGAAAGACAGATAGATAGATAGGTTCTATCATCAGGTATAATTTAGGTATTTCTGCAACAAGGCCACAATCATATTTGTCAAACATTAGAATAGATCAAAAAAAGAGGGTTGGACTTAAAATCTATCTTTAGTTTTAGTAGCAAAGGAACTGAGTCTTTGCCACATATTTTGATTTTAAAAACCTTACCAACCCTATGACGTATATATTTGATATTTCTGTTAAATTTGAAATATCATTAGGTTTCAAAGATATAGGGATTAGAAAATTTGAGTTAGTGAGAAGAACTCAATTCCTGAAAGGATGATGAAAAACTTGATTTCATAGTTATAGCACCTGGTTCAATGCAAAAAATCACATAAATCTGATGTTAAAAAATAACAACAAACTTCTACTTTTAATTTTCAGTTCTAGTTTTCGGTGTTTATGGTGAAAACTTGTGTTCAGGTTTAAGGATATTTTCTTGAGAAGATTCAGAGAAATTGGGAAAGTAATCTTTTGGTTTAAGTTTTGTTTTGTTTTTCTAGGTTTAGGTTTAGGTTTAGGTTTAGGTTTAGGTTTAGGTTTAGGTTTAGGTTTAGGATTAGGTTTAGGATTAGATTTAGGTTTAGGATTAGGTTTAGGTTTAGGATTAGATTTAGGTTTAGGATTAGATTTAGGTTCAGGGTTAGGTTTAGGATTATGTTCAGGTATAGGATTATGTTAAGGTTCATGCAATCTCTGGGTTAGACTTTATCATTTTTACTTTTACAATAATATTGTTAAATAAATAAACGTCCAGGTTAAATATCTCAAGGTGTGTAGATTCAAGTGTGCGAAACCAAAACTAATTATAGAAAAGCCTCAGATTATACTTCATCTCAGAGACAAATATACTATCTGAGCAACAAAAAAACAAAAACCTGACCTTTTGCACCAACCTGCGGTCAGGTTGGTTAGGCCGGTGCTATACTATGGACGAACTGTCAGGTTAGGCCGGTGCTATACTATGGACGAACTGTCAGGTTAGGCCGGTGCTATATTATAGACGATTCTGTCAGGTTAGGCCGGTGCTATATTATAGACGATTCTGTTCCCTCTCTATACCATCCCCAACCCATCCATTCGTCTCCTCTTCTTCCTTACATCGTGTCCTCCTCCCTCGCTTATATGGTGTGTAGTGTGTTAAGGAGATTATCTATATGATTATATCAGTCAATTTGTTAAGTATGAAACCCCCTGTATATAGTGTGGGATAAGGATACAAAAAATGTTTCCTGCTTAGGGTTCAAATTAGCACTGCTAGGAAGTAGGAACACTTATTAGAATTGCTGAGAAATTATTCCAAGAAGAACAGCAAAGAAACCGATCCAAGATTTAACACGGGGTGAGACTCATTTCCTCATTGTCTTGGTACAGGAATTGAGTGCTTGCCATGTACTCAAATTTTCGAATGCTATAACTTTGCAACCTGATTGTGTACACCTTTGATTTTTCAAACTTAGATTATTACCTCAAATTTTGTCATCCCTGTATCTTTTATCCCAATGTCGTAAACCTTTATTAAATATTTTAAATTACGAATTCTGTAAGATAAAATAGTCTAAGGTTAAAATATCAAAGAATTTTATCATAAAGTTGCAAAGATAAAGGAATTAGAAATCTAAATATGGAACTTTGTAAATAATTCTACTACTGTCATTAAACGATTGCTTTAATTTGCGTCCTTAAAAATCCAATATCATTTTGTAGAAATGCTCCAAAGAATTTAAGAACATAACTTCAGGGTTTATATTTTAGGTTTACCGAAGCATCTCCAGTTCCTGAGTGATCAGTCCCAAGTTTTGAAGGAACTAAACAGTGACCTAGATACTAATCCTATTACAGATCTATACACCAGCTATACCAGGCACCTGAAAACAGGTTTTAACAGAGATCAGTCCAGCAGGTCGACCTGGGACCAAGAGACTGACTCCAGCAAGGTTCTAAACACAAGACTTGATGTTGGAGGAAGAGAAACTAGAGATACATATCAACGGTTCCGAACCCAGCTCTTTACTCCACAAACCAAACATCAGGGGTTCAAACAACGAAACAATCGACATTTCAAACAAAATGGTAAGAGAATATAATTTTTCCTGGAACTCAAAAACTGTTATTTTTTAATAAAAATTTCCGAATTTTACTTTTTTAACTTTAGTCCACGGAGAAGAGAGAAGGGACGGAGCTGGCAGGAGGGGGAAGAGATTGTCTCTCTTGGACAGAATGAGAAACCTTCTCTACCCACCCGCCCCTAGAGAAGAGTATAGGAGACATCAAGACCAACAATTCCAGGTTATATGATGAACAGGCTGTAATGTGTATTGAGCAAGAATGTTTCAGAGAAAAAGAAAATTTTGATTTCTAGTATAATCAGTAGCGGGTAGATGTTCGTATATAACTTGGAGCAGATCTATATAAAACCTGTCAGATTTAAATATATCTATTTAAAATTTTTCTGTTTCAGGCTCCGGTGTTCCGTCTGGTCACTCATCCCCCCACTGTCAGATCCATCCCACACACACATAGAATCAGGGTTCAACCCAACCTTATCCAACCAAACATTCAGAAACATCATCAACCCAACCTACCTCCTCCAACTCTTCATCATCAACCCAACCTACCTCCTCCAACTCTTCATCATCAACCCAACCTACCCGCTTCAGCTTTTCTTCATCAAAAAAACCAACCCCCTCATACCTTCCATCATCAACCTAACCTACCCCCTCCCACAGTACATCAACCAAATCATCATAATCAACCACATACTAAACGCAACCACTTAAACAGTATTAAAACACAGTCTAACCAGGAAATAAAACATAAAAACCATGCATCGACCTTTCAAAACCCTTCCCATACTTACCAACCCCTCGAGTTCCAACCCTCTCAGACAGATGGAGAAAACACACAGTTTTTAGATTCGGATTTTGATCTAAAAGTTCAAAATCCGTCCGTGAGACAAGTATCTATAAATAGTTTCAGTTCTTCCACTGGAGGTTCAAGGTTCTATACAGAATCTACTGGAGCTGGAGAGCAGGCAGTAGTTCTAGATCTTGTCGGTACAACAGGGGGGTTTAATCCTCCTAATCCTGATGAGATTATTATCATCAGTAAACCTGAGAATGAGAATGAGAACGTATCTGATGATGTTGCGCGTTTTAAAGTTCTTGAGCCAATTATTTCCGTAAAATCTGAACCTATCATCCAGAAAGTTGAAGAAAATTTCAAAGATGATTTTGAACAAGATATGCCAGAGTACAAAGAGGATAAGGTTACATTCAGTACATATGAATCTCAGCAGCTTTTACAGAACCCGGAGCCGGAGCAAGAACCCATCCAGGAGATTATTGAATCAACAACTATTCTGCCAGTGGTAGAAGAAACTACTCCTTACATTAATACTTTCCGTCCTATCACACCCAAACAATATATCCCTAAATCATCAGCTCAGACTGAATCTAGAAATCCGATCTATCCTAGTCCTTCAAGGTCGGAGAATATCCAGGTTGCAGAAATTAAGAGCATGTCGAGGGAAGAGTTTGAGGAGAGTATAAACCAGGTTCTGGAGAAGGATCGTTATGTATCCGAGGGTTATGAAGAACTACTGGAGGAGAAGATTGCTGAAATACAGCGTCAAGCTGATCTACTAGAGGAGAAATACTGGGGTGGAAGGAAGGATTACGAAATATAGATTATATAACAGAGTCAAGACTAAGAAAACTCTCAACCTTCTCCTAATGTTGGATTTTAAAAACAATAATTAAAAATATGATTACTCAGATAAAGAAGAAAAGACATTGATACAAACATGCCTAGACGAACACAAGGGGTTTTAGTGTGTTTTCCCACGCGAGATATTGGAGACTTTAACGACATTTAATATTTGTAAAGACTAAGTGAAGGTTGAACACGGAGAAATTAACCAAACGTGACAAATCTCCGAAAGTACCAAAAATATCAAAATTATTACTAGTTTCATCATTTTAGACAAAAACGTTATCCTCTTCCCGCGCTCCTCCTTCTCTTCCATATTTATTTTTATTTATTTATTGTCGCGTGTGCCATTGTTTTCATTTAATAAGTAGTCGCACTAATGTCAAGGTTTATGTCACAGTTATTCTTATATTTTGCAAAAGTATGTACGGATAATTTTGCACGATGATATCCTTGGATTATGCAGAATATTTCTGAATATTTAGTCCTCTCATGCTGGTCCTAACCCTGGTGTAAGATTATCCTTTTCAATTTCCATTTTGGTCATTCAGTTTTTTCACCCGGAAAGGAATTGAGTCTTTGGCACAAACTCTGATTTCAATGCCCTACATTTTTGCAAACAAATGTCGTAGACCTTGGCTATTTCAAACTATGAATTCTGTTAGATCAAATAATCTAAGTTAGAAATATCAAACGTTTACACCATCAGTTTGCAAAGATATAGGGATAAGAAAATTTCAGTTTGTGACAAATCTAAGGCTTAATTTCCTTAGAAAAACTTTTTACGGTTTTTTTACATTCCTTAACTTTTCCAGGGAAATCAGTGTTTAGATTAAATAAATGTAATTAAGGTTTTTTTTGTTTGTATCAAAATGACTTTAAAAAACTAGTTACAATTTTTATTATTATTGTAATCTCAAACTTGTTGTTGTCACCTTGTTTAGTCCTTGTACTAGTCTCTTATACACAAATTATGTTATCATGCTAAATCTAATAAATAGGGTTTAAAAAATATTTTTTTTTTATTAAATATTTTTTTTTTTACGTTTAATGGTTTACTTCGCAAAGATAACTGGTAACGGCTTGTTTAATTTACTCCTTCTATAATCTATATGCTAGTTCAGAAATCTTACAAATAAACTTAAAACTTAAAACTTAAAACCTCGGCCATAGATTTCATAAAATTCAAAATCAACGATTCACTCTTCTCAAACTCTAATTTCTGATCCCTCTATCTTTGTAACACGTTGATGTAAACCTTTTGTATTAAAAACTATGTGTTCTGGCAGAATTAAAATTTTGGAATAACAGATTTAAGGATTGGAAAATTAGAGTCTGAGGCGAGTTTTCAATAATTACCAGAATTGTTAAACTCTTAACCAGTAGTTGAACCTTATTTAAGGAATTCAACCCTATTCATAAAGTTTCAACTCAGTTAAGTGTCATCACTGAGAGTTAATAAAATATGTAAATCACAAAAGTGTGTATTTATTATATATACAGGTTGACCCACCAAGGATTACACTGCAAAGACGACCCAAAACTCTAAAAATATGACGATTTGAGGCTTGAATTTTGGTTTTTACATTCAAGTAATTATTTTGATGGTTTACTAAATTATTAAGCACATAATAAGCCAGTTTTGGCCTACAAGGAAACCTGAATGCAAGAAAACGGACTAAACAAATTCCGCAAAATCGTCTCTGAAGTCTCATCCTTTGTGGGTAACCCTGTATACAAATATTAATTGCTTTTTGCACATTTGTGGTCGATTGACTTTCCTTTCGCGCAAATCCGTCCATATATATATATATATATATATATACTATATTCATTTACGAGGTGTTACTGAAAAAAAAACAGTAATTGAAATCATAGATTTAATTTCAACAAAATTGTCAAACGTAAACCTTTTATCATGTTCTTTGGCCAATAATATTCACGATTCACGTTTTGGAAAATACGGAAGAAACAATTTTTAAAAATCAACAATTTGTTGATCTATCTTGACACACCGTAAAAGGTGTTTGTTTGCACCATTAGATCGTAAATATCCATAAATCGGAAATCGATTGAAAACCAAGGCTCTGGCATTGATTACCCTTAAAACGTTGATTCAAAAAATCATAATGCAAGTTTTTTTACAACATTAGATCGGAAATATTTGGAATATATTTTCCGTGTCAAATCAACGAAAATCGTTTAAGAATTAAGGCTCTGGCGGTACCAATACCGTTATGTATACATACATATAAATTTAAAATTATAAACTTTTATTCCGTGTTAAAATTTAGGGGAGGGGGGTGGGGGCGCAGAGCGCCTTAAATTTTGATTTAAAACTCGCATACTCTCTGCGTGTTTCTGCATACTAAAGTTGACAAAGTATTGTTTAGTTTCAAGATAAGAAAAGATAAATATTTTTCCACAGGATGTAATAATTCATAATTCAAGATATATCTATCTATCTATCTATCTATCTATCTATCTATCATTCTATCTATCTATCTATCTATCTATATATCTATCTATATATCTATCTATCTATCTATCTATCTATCTATCTATCTATCTATCTATCTATCTATCTATCTATCTATTTATCTATCTATCAATTTTTCTATCTCTTATTATAAATTCGTAAAAACAATTTAAGCTGTAAAATTCCTAATTCTACCAGAGTTCAAAAAAGTTTTTTATTTTTTACATTTTGGCAAAATACAGATTATCATCTTAACAAGAAGAAGTAGAAGGAGAACTCCTCCGATTAGTTGAAGAACAATAACAACAGATCTAGGTAGACCTAACAGTGCAGCGTACCAATCAGATTCAAGAACACTAAAATAATAGAAATGTTGTTGGAAGGGATTGTAGACACAAGTGACTCTACATTTGTAGAGCAGACTGTCCGATTTACAACGATACTCTTTAAACGTCAATTTAAGTAATAATGAGGATGACTTTCTATTTAAAAAGTGTTAAATTCTGACAAATTCCTTTGTTAACTCTATCGAGAAAATTCGCAAGTCACTGTTTCATCATACATGTTGTAGAGAAATTACAATTGAAAGAAAAACAAGTGATATTTCATTCATATTTGATCAGATAGGTTTGAAGGGTACCGTTGTGAATCGGACATGCAACTCTATAAATAGAGGGTTACTTGAAATTACGTCTACACTCCAACTGAATATTACGATGTAGACATAAAATATTTCAAGAAAAATTGAAAATTATGAAGAATGTATTTCCTGATTATTTTTAGGCCTTTTCTACCTTTGTAGTTTATCATTGCTCTCTTTCCAGACAACTGGTATTGTATCAACAGGACTACTGGAGGATAAAGTTCTATCCGTCCTTCTCCGGAACCTTCGAACCTCAACCACCTTGCATTCCTTGCCCTGATCCCACTCTAAACAAACAGTCCTAGATCCTAGATCTGCTCCAGGAGGAAGCAGGACAGTTTCATTACTCTGGGCCCTGCAGGGAGAGACAAGGACGGAGAAAACCAAGGAATCAAAGGTTCCTACAAAAAATAAGATGCCATCATATTTGTAAAATGAATAAATCTTTTCCTGTAAGTAATCAAATACCTAAAAATACTCCGCACGAATGCTGAAAGTTTAAGATTAAAGTGATGACTGACTCCGAGTTGATTTGAACTTCTCCATCCCAGCTGCGGATATAGCTCTGGTTCTGGAACAGGGTTGATTCTATCCCTGATCCTTCTCTGAGAACTAGAGAGAACTTAACCCTGTCTCCAGATCTAGTTTCCTCAACGACAGAATGATCTCCTCCTGGAAAACACGAAATATCAAAATTTATCTATCATTTGTTTCTAGACATGAAAATAAGCCGGACCCAAAACACTTTCAGTTTTGAGTCATTCACGATGTAAAGATAAGGTTTAAAGGAAACTATGGATTTACTGTTTAGAAATACTGTAAGACGTTATTTCAAGTTACCTTCCATTTCTAGATAGGGTCGTCTGAATGAGATATCCATGATTTTATTTTTGAAAATTGATGATGTATTCTCTATAAATGTGACTGACGAATGTATGGTGTAGAAAGAATGGTAAAATTGTTAAACTATTAAAACGACAATATTCGTCACGTTTTTTTATCACATATTGGTTTAAATGGAATAAGCCGCGCCTGGGCCTCTTAAATATGAGGGATAACTTGAAATTACAAAGTGCAGTTTCTTTAATTTTCTACCTTTGAAAATAAGATTTGTTGGAGACCCTAACTCCAGCTCAGTATTAATTCCTTTAGTTTCAGCAACAAACTCCTGTCTCTCGCAATCCAGGGTTCGGATATGTATTCCTCGGTGTAGTACTCCAGGAGCAGGGTTGGAGATAATTCCGTCCTTATACTTTAGCCAACCTGGCAGAGCGGTATTCTCACCTCTCTCGGAGTTAAGATCTACCATCCTGTACAGTTTACAGTGTAAATATAGCTTTTTATCCATTTTTAAATAATAAGATGAGTTTTTGCCACAAATTCAAATTTTCTAACCCTTATATATTTTCAACTAGATGGTATAAATCTTTGAGATTTCTAACTTTGATTATTAGATCTAACAGTGATTATAGTTTTAAATATATAAGGTCTACGACATTGGAGTTGTAAAGATATAGGTATTAGAAAATGAGAGTTTGTGGCAAAGAATCAACTCCTTCCTTTGTAAGTTTGAAGTTTGAAAAGTTAGCATTCTTCCACTATGCTAAATCTGACCCTGACAGAAGATTTCGAATAGTTCGATAACAAAAGATTTGTTTGCTTAATTCAGGTCAAAATCTTCTATAAGAGTTACAAAGAAACCGATAACTAGCCACAAACGATGATTTTAAAATTAGGACATATTTTCAACGTGATAGCATCAACCTTGGATATTTCAAACTTTTACAATTTTATTTGGAATAATTTATAAATAGTGGGGTTTAGTTGAGAGTGTATAGCATTCTTGATTTTTGTTGAGCCATTTGGAAGCTAAAAAGCCGTAAGTGGTAAAAAAATATAAAACCAGCAAGAACCAGAAAACATTAGACACAGCTATGCTGTGAAAACAGACCCATTTCACTTAAAGAGACTGTAAAGAAAAAACAAATGGGGGTAAAGGCTGAAACCTAAGCATTTTAGGAGTTGATCGAGACCCATCTGTGTTTCTGTCTCGAGAAATTGATCAAAAAAAACTGTGTCAAATTTATACAAAAATCTATATACATAAAATTTTGTATAAAAATAGTAGGTTTAAACGGACCATATTCAGCAAATTCACAACCAATCTGAAAACAGAGGAGTCTAAGAATCATAGGTTTGCTCCTTTCATTATTTGAATTTAATCATTTTTCATTTTTAGTAAATATAATTGATAAATATAATGAATATCATGTGACCAGAACTCCCACCAAATGGTAGGGCAGTATCATTATCACGTGACTCGGACTGTATCACGTGACCAGTATACTGCACTGCCATTGGTTGGAGTTCTAGTCACGTGATACGGACGTATAAATAATATTATTTTATAAATCAAAAATTATGAAATTCAAATAATAATAGAAGCAAACCTAAGTTACTTAGGCTTCTCTGGGATATCGTCGTTTTCAGATCGGTTTCTTATTTGCTGAATATGATCCGTTGAAAACTACTGAGACAGGAACATCAGAAAGAACTCTTATAGCTCTCGATCAACTCCTAAAATGCTTAGGTTTTAGCCTATACCCCCTTTCATTTTTCCTTTACAGTCCCTTACGAAGTGTGTAATAAGTAGAATTTGTTGCTTTGTAACAACATCAGTATACACTTCATTATGGTTTCAATGTCGTCTTCCTCTTTCACAGTTTTTTGATTGTCTAACTGTATATATCATCAAATCTGATCTTAATATTCAAGAAGATTTTACAATCTGTATTTCTTGAACCTGAGTTTGTTCTCTGTATCAAGTATAAACCAGGATCCTGGAGAGAAGGTTGGTTCAGATTCGACCGAACTATAAACTAACATTTCCTCAGTATCTAAACATATATCTTATATAAAAGTTATTTAAAAAACTTGAATCGTTACATATCTCCAAAATATTCGAACATTTGATCAAAGGATTTGAGTCTTTGCCACAAACTCTGATATTATAATACTTTTATCTCTGCAACCCAATGTTGTAAACCTTTGATATTTCAAACTATTGATTGTGTTAGATCAAATAATCATAGTTTGAAATATTAAAGGTTCAAATAATTGGATTGCAAAGATATAGGTAGTACAAGTTTTGAGTTTGTGACAAAGACTCAATTCCTTTGGCATCGTTACACACAGCAACGCAATTTGTTCTACTATCTTCATGAACCCCCGACAACCAATTCTTAATGGTCCTCCTGGTCAAGGAGTCATTCAATAGGTTTCTTCTTACAACAAAATAGAAAAACATAAATCTGATTCAACAACATCTCTAATGTTTCTATTTATTTCAAACATTTTAGGCACTATTTTCCTTCGACCTTTTCCTGAGAACCAACCTGAAACTAGATGTTTGATCCTGACATGGTTTCCAATAGTTTTGAATGTTGTTGAGTGTGTTCTCTCTCCTCCTAGAGCTGAGAACTCCTCTATTGAGTACTCCAGTCTCACTGTAGGTACTCCCAGCTGTACAGCAGTACTCGGAGCAGAGGGAGTTAACCTGCAATTGTATTACATATTTGTTTTCTAGTACTTTTAGGTTTTAGAACTTTTAATGTAAACCATTTCTGAGACGCCAGAAAGGAATTGAGTCTTTGCCACAAACTCTGATTTTCTAATCGCTATTTCTTTAAAACCTAATGCCGTAGACCTTAGATACTTCAAACTAAAAATACTTTTAATTCAAAAAGTCTAAGTTAGAAATATCAAAGGATTAAACAATCAATTTGAGATTGTGGCAAAGACTCAATTCCTTTAAAACGGATGTGTCCACGAAGGACATGAATACCTAAAGTCTATTTTTCTAATCTTGCATCTGTTCTAAATGATGTTGGTGGTTTAAACTGGAAATCCTCGATTAGAAAAAGTTTGAATTTACAAGGTTTAGGAGCCATCAGGTTGAAAAATATATAAAAATTATAAAAAAGAGTTTGAGGTAAGTAAGCTGATGTTTTGGTTAACCACCTGAGTGTACAACAGGTACTGGAGGGGGTGTGCCTGGAGGCGTGGCACCCAGGGTTGATACTTGAGAAGGTGTAGCAGGTGGGACATCTACTCAGTTGGCAGGGGGCGTGGTCACATTGACAGTAACAAGACACACCCACTTCAGGGACACTAGGTTGGGTAATTATTAAATTATAGAGATAATAGAGGAGAATGGATGAAGGTTTTGATGAGAATGAGAATGAAAAAACTGAATAGTATGTAAAGTGAAGTATATTGAAAGAATGACAATGATGAGGTTGAAAATATTGTAAAAATGAAGACGATGATAATGAAGATATTGTAAGGATAAAGATGATGGTGATGATAAGAATTATGTAAAGATAAGAATATTGAAAGGATGATGATGATTAGAATAAGATTGAAAAAATATTGAGGATGAGAATGATGAAACATGAGAATATTTCAAGGCTGACAATGATGATGATTGATGAGGAGGATTACCTGAACTGGTAAGATGATATGACAGGATAATGATGAGAAACCTGGAGTAAATTTAACACTTTGCTAAACCAATACCTTGTCAACACATATTCTTCTCATCTCAACCTTTTCACGTGGTGTGGATTTTATGATGAAGTGAAAATTATAAAACCATAAAATATACATAAAAAGAAATATTAAAAAAATAAGTTTTCTCAAATAATAAAAATTCCAAATTTAAAACTGGGTTTTGTTGTTTTCATATTTTTTTTAAGTTTCGGCATAAGGTTCCTTGGAGAACATATTCTTAAGTAAATATTTCATATCTCCGTCTGAGACAACAGTGCACCAGCTGATATTAATTATGAAAATATAAATAAAGAATAATTTGTTTTATTGTTTATAATTAAACTGTGTCAGGGTTTGGTTCCTAATGTACGTATTATTCTCCAGTGAGAGAAGACAGACCGAGGTAGCAGGTTGGAGAGAGAAGGAGAGATGGGTTTCATTCCTCCACTTTTCTATCTTTTTATCCTCAAATATTCTAAACAGAAATATTTTTATATTTTCAAATCCTTATATCTTAGCATATAGCTTTGCAACCTGATGGCGAAGACCTTGGATATTTCATTTTATTAGCAGAATTAATAGTTTGAGAATATCAAAGGTCTACCACGCCAGAACTAGAAAATAGGATTTTGAGGAAAGTATTCAGATTTTCTTTGGCCTGTTGTTGAATCCTGCTAAACTAGTCAGATATTTTTCTCACAAATTATTATTCAATACATTAAAAAGTATAAATTAATGAAGACGACAAATATATAATTTGGATATGTTAAAGTTAAAGTTTGACCCTTTACGACAAATATTTAATTTGGAGATGTTAAAGTTAAAGTTTGACCCTTTACGAAAAATATATAATTTGGAGATGTTAAAGTTAAAGTTTGACCCTTTACGAAAAATATATAATTTGGAGATGTTAAAGTTAAAGTTTGACCCTTTACGACAAATATANGCATTCTTCCTGATACGTCCTCATTGGTTCACCATAAATACAGATTAGAAATGTACATTGTGCAATGACCTACAAAGATTGAACGTCTAATGAAGACATGAACCTCATGAAAAAATATCTTGTAACGAACGAAAGTGTACAGCTAATGGGAATCATAACTGTTGCAAATAATCCTTTTGGTGGCCACCCTTTGCAGTAAAAGATATATGATTTTAAGACTAGAAGACACTTTTGAAGTTTTCCAGTACGTGCTTAAGTTTCATAATAACTTAACTTTTCACATTTACATGTCCAACAGGGTTGATTTTTATGTCTCACTGTGGTTAGATTTTCTATCTTTATGTTTACATAATAATAAATTAACCTTGTGAAGATTTGTCAATATATGTCCCAGACCAGGGAAAACTTATCTCAAGGTTCTTGGATAAATATATTTAAAACTAAATCTATTTAAGTTAAAATAAAAATAAACATTCTTGTTAATTTCTCAAAATATTTTCATTGTTTGGATAATTTCATTTTTGAAGCGTATTAATTAAGGTCAAAGTTTTTGTATTTAAAATTTGGTTCCCCTCTGCACTATAATTACGGAGAACTGTTGTTCTATAAGGGGATAGATGTTGTATGAATGATAAGTACGGAGAACTGTTGTTCTATAAGAGAATGGATGTTGTATGAAAGATAGGTTACGGAGAACTGTTGTTCTATAAAAGTATTCAAAGGATTTGAGTCTTTGCCACAAACTCTGATATTCTAATCCTTTTATCTCTGCAACCCAATGTTGTAAACCTTTGATATTTCAAGCTATTGATTGTATTAGATCAAATAATCATAGTTTGAAATATTAAAGGTTCAAATAATTGGATTGCAAAGATATAGGTAGTACAAGTTTTGAGTTTGTGACAAAGACTCAATTCCTTTGGCATCGTTACACACAGCAACGCAATTTGTTCTACTATCTTCATGAATTGGAGAAGAAGGAGGGGGGATGGAGAAGAAGGAGAGGGGATGGAGAAGAAAGTGATGAGGGATGGATTTCCTTTCCTTACACCATCATGTCAAATTCTAACCTTAAGAAAATATAAATGCAAAAAATGTTATAAACGTTCATTCTTGGTTTGTTTTTTCCCCCTATATTTTAGCTTAATTTAATAAAAGCAAACTTTTACAGAATTCAGTTTAAAATCACAAATGTGGGAAGCTTTGAAAAGTCCAAACACCATAAAATTAAAAGTCTCAGAAAAACGACCACGGTTAGTGCACATTACATGTGTTATCGAACCCAGATTCCTCTCCCATCAAGGAGAATTGAAAAGAAGGAGGGGGCGATAGGGTTTCCGTACACTTTGCTGTGACGTTTTTGGACTGCTGAAGAACTAGTTTTTGCGTAACAACAATAACAAAGGCAGCCGATCTAAAGTAAACAAACATGAGTTAGTATACGGTGAATCTTCATCTAATGCCAGAGATGCGCCGGATGTCTGTTTATCATTTGTGTTATTGTTTACAATCTTTATTATTGTTGTTACGCAAAAACAGGTTCTACAGCAGTCCAAAAACGTCACAGCAAAGTGTACGGTAACCCTATTGCCCCCTCCTTCTATTCAATTCTCCTTGTCTCCCATAGGTTGTTTGATAATTCACCGTGAGATAATTTAAGATTTAACTTTTTCTAGAAATGTATTTAGTGGTTTGTTTGAACCTAATTGACGTCAACACGGCTGAACCGATTAACGATTGTGCCTAGATTTTCTTCAGGAACTCACAACACCCAATCGGGATGGCAGGCCAGGATTTAAAATTTTAACTTAGAACAAAAAAGATTTTTGAAAATTTTGGTAAATAATAGAAGAATTTGCAAAAAATGTTATTATTATTTTTGATTTTGTATAGATAATGTTTGCAGGCAAACCAAGAAAAATTAGAAATATGGACGCGAAGCGTTCTAAACGACTAGTTCTTTACAAGAGAGCCTATAGGTTGACCCTACTAGCGCTAGGGTCAGTGCAAGAATGCTTTAAAATTTCACACCTTTCATGTGTAAAGAATCCCCCTTAACAATACCCCCCCCCCCCTCCCTCTAGCTTGACGAGGGGATTTTTTCTTCATGTTTTCCCGCAAAAAATGTTACTTTGTAATCAGATTATCCCTGCTACTCAGTCTAGCAAAGTTTGTAAATAAAAATACTACAATGTACAATGTGAAGTGTACAGCATGAAGTGTACAGCGTGAAAATGCAGAACGGACATCGAAGAATTTTTTATTCGAAATTCAAACATTTTCGTTTATTTTTGATCCACAACCAACCTCAACTTTATTACTTTAATAGTTTTAAAAGATAAACAGACTTTAATTTTATGCAAACAAACACTCAGGAATAAATATTAATTTTTTGGAAACAATTACAAAAAATATATTTCGCATTACAATTATCAAGTGATACACTGCAAATTAGAAATGCAGCTTGCACATCTCAACTTTGCAATATTTTGCATCAATGATTTGGCACGGAATTTCATAATGCAATTTTTTGAAATGTTAAAATGTTTATTGTTTCTAACTTAATCTTATTTTTTTAAATTCTAAACTAGACATTTACAGTTAGATTTTATCCATTTTATACTTACCTCTAACTATCATTAAAATAACAGTTTATTTTGTCGCGTATACACTTTATAGATGGGTACAGCGAGTACAGCTTTAATGATAAATTGATTAAGGCATAGTTATCTAATTGTATAAATTATACACGTGGACAGTGTTAAAGAACTAAACAACAAATAAGCAAAATTAAATATAAATTTTACATAAAATCTTTTATCTAATGTTAAAAATAACTAAAAATAAACAAAATTCTACATATATCATTTAAATAATCATGAAAGTAATATTTTTCGAGAATTCATTCCGAGAAATGCTCTTGTTTTTCTACTCACCAAGCATCTAAATAAATGATAGTAATTGATCATATTTAAGTAATATATTTATATAAAATCTGGATGTGAGAGGAAAATGCAATAATGATTCTGTGCATTCGACTGTTCAATCATAAATTATATATCTTCTCTCATCTTCTTCCTTTTCCTGTCTCTTCAATATTTATCTTTTCCGCCACTATATCATATCCTTTGATCTTATTTACTTCCGTAGCCTTCTGCATCCTTCCTTATCCTTTATTCTTCCTCATTCTTCCTCATTCTTCCTCATCCTTCCTCATCCTTCCTCATCCTTCCTCATCCTTCCTCATCCTTCCTAATCCTTCCTCATTCTTCCTCATCCTTCCTCATCCTTCCTCATCCTTCCTCATCCTTCCTCATCCTTCCTCATCCTTCCTCATCCTTCCTCATCCTTCCTCATCCTTCCTCATCGTTCCTCATCCTTCCTCATCCTTCCTCATCCTTCCTCATCCTTCCTCATCCCTCTTCATTCTTCCTCATCCTTCCTCATCCTTCCTCATCCTTCCTCATCCTTCCTCATCCTTCCTCATCCTTCCTTATTCTTCCTCATCTTTCCTCATCGTTCCTAATCCTTTCTCATTCTTCCTCATTATTTCTAATTTTCCTCAGCCTTCCTCATACTTCCTCATCTTTCCTCATTCTTTCTCATCCTTCCTATCCTTCCTCATCCTTCCTCATCCTTCCTTATCCTTCCTCATCTTTCTTATTTTTCCTCATCCTTCCTTATTCTTCCTCATCCTTCCTTATTCTTCCTCATCCTTCCTCGTCCTTCCTCATCCTTCCTCGTCCTTTCTCATCTCTCCTATTCTTCCTCATCCTTCTTTTTTCTTCCTCATCTTTTCTCATTCTTCCTCATCCTTCTTCATTCTTTCTCATTTTTCCTCAGCCTTCCTAATCCTTCCTAATCCTTTTTAATATTTCCTAATCCTTCCTCATCCTTCCTCATCATTCTTCATTCTTTCTCATCCTTCCTCATCCTTCCTAATCTTTCCTAATCCTTTTTAATATTTCCAAATCCTTCCTGATACTTCACGCCTTTTAGATACATCCGCATTCTTCCTGATACGTCCTCATTGGTTCTGATACTTTCTGATCCTTCGTATTACTTTCTCATTTTTCAAAATACTTCTTAATATTTCTTAATACTCGATCTGTAACTTCCTGACTAGCTTTACTTCTTGTTTTCATCAATTAATAAAGTTAGAAACAAGCTGTGCGTAACTGAAATACAAACTATCATATGCAGTTTAGATGACAAACCAAAAATAAATAATACTCTTATTATAGAGTCATCCAACCTTATTTTTAATCTTTATTTCTTCCTATAACTCTTATCCCCCTCCCCCCACCCCCCTTCTTCATTCCTGACCCTTACATAGAATGTACGAATACAAATATATATAAAATGTGAAATGTGTTTGAAAAGCACTTGACGGGATTCCCTTCGCAGTTGGCGGATTTTACTCCAACTATTTTCACGGATTTCAAGTTTAAAATTCCCGCTTAAAGGTCCATGACAAGAATTTTACATGTTTTGAGTATTTTAAATTAAAGTTTCGTTTTATCCT